TAACTTATGATTTTTAACTATTATCGTTACGCATATGTATTAACGAGATATGAAAATCGATAAAACTCATAAATGTAACTGTTCTTACTAGAGGCTCATTTGGTTGAATGTTAGTAATGATAATTATTATGTACTAACTGAAGTAATGGACTTCTGAGATTAAGTAGTCACTTGAAATATATGGGTAATATAATCAAGAATTAAATCATGGTTCTGTATCCAGCATCCGTGATGATATCTATATCTGACATGGTTTTCACGCGTTTTATCACACTGGCCTTAACAGGAAGAACGTCCGTCTGTTGTAGATAACTATAAAGTGTATATGATATTGCTTTTTCGATGTCTTGCCCCGAATCAACCCTCAACCAACTTAATCCCCCGAGCAGGTGTCTCGTGTTGGTACGGGTGTGGTATTTAAAAAAAAAGCCATATCATATGCATTTAATTATATACTTATATTGACATATAATCTTCTCTATATAAACTGTTTTAATACTTAATGTATCATATCGTCATAGTAAGGGGGAAAAAATCGACGAATTAATCAGTATGAATCAATATGAATACACGATTATTTTCGTTCTAAAAAGTAAAATAACAAAAATACCGAACTCCGAGGAAATTCAAAACGGAAAGTCCCTAATCAAATGGCAAAATCAAAAGCTCAAACACATCAAACGAATGGAAAACAACTGTCATATTCCTTACTTGGTACAGGCATTTTCTTATGTAGAAAATGGTGGGTTGAACCTGGTTTTATAGCTAGCTAAACCTCTCACTTGTATGACAGTCGCATAAAATTCCATTATATTGACAACGATGTTTGAACAAAACAAACAGACATAATAGGTAAAAATGTCAAAAATAGGGGTACAGCAGTCAACATTGTGTTATAATCTTAATCACTATGAAAACAAACAAATATATCAACAAAGAAAAACAAAAAGCCTTTATAGCTTACTGTTCGGCGTGAGCCAAGGCTCCGTGTTGAAGACCGTACTGTGACCTATAATGGTTTACTTTTATAAATTTTGACTTGGATGGAGAGTTGTTTCATTGGCACTCATCCACATCTTCTTATATCTATATAGACAAAGCACATTAGTAAAAACGATAGACAAAAATACAAAAATTTACCATAGCACAATAACACAATGACGGGATGTATAAGTACCGAGCCACGTTAAATGGATATAACCAAAAATATACTAAACAGTAAAAGTAATAATTTACAAAGACAAATAAAAGAATACTATAACACGTTATTAAGATGATAAATAAATTCAGTACCAGAATCTATACTTCAAGACCATCGTGTATTATTTGTGAAGTTGATACTGAATATTTATCAACAAGGTCTTGGTATCTTCCGATGATTTTTTTTAGAAAAAGGACGAGACGTTCTTTGACATACCCTTGGTTCATCAACTTTCTGCTCAGACACTGGTGACGTTTTACAAAGTCTGAGTAGCAGGTGCAAGCTCTTGAATACCGAATGAGTTCGGGAAATGTATATCCCATATGCAGGTGAAGTTGGTATATTGCTACTAAGGTGGGGAAAATTGATAATTTTACAATTAAAATCATCTCGTTTGTCATAGATTCTGGTACTGAGATGACCGCTTATGTCAAATTCGAGGTATAAGTCTAAATATGAGGCAGAGGATCTCAGGTGCTCCGCAATGGTAAGCAGATCCTGCTCCACATGTGACACCCGTCGTGTTGCTCATGTTAGTTACAACCCGATAATAAGTCTAATTTGGTAGGTCACATTCGGAAAAAGGGGGCTGGATTGTAGTTACGATATTAGGAACATCATCATCCACACCTCTAGAGTTACAACAATTAAGTTCAATCAATAAGGAGAATATCCTGATTCATTTATGGCTCATTTCTTGTGCGATGAAATTCTGTGCTTTGTTAAGCTCCTCTAAAATGTGATTTAAGTTCTTAGTTTAACCCCTGAATATTTTACCAGTTCAGTGTGACATATATCTAGAAAAAATCTTTTCATATTAGTTTTAAAGCTTTTGATTTCGTCAATGGTAAAGCTGCATGTTTGGTGACTGAGATTATTTAAGAACTCAATAAAGTCTACCAATTTTAATTTTTTTAAGAAAAAATATTTTTTGATGCAACAAATGAATGTTTTAAAAGAGAAAATTTTCAACCATCTACCAACGACATCTTCATTTAGACTTGATAAATCATAAAATCTTGAAAATATTAGGTCAAGAACATGACTTACATATTGATAATTTGTTTGAAGGCGTCCGTAAAAAATCACAATGACACAAAAGTAGTATTTTTTGTGTTTGTTTTCATCTCGGAGACAATCAAAATCTACCAGCAAGTTGACACAAAACAAAGAAAAACGCATATTTGGCCTCGTGGTAGTGATCTCGCGTCGAGTGCAGGAGGTCGTGGGTTCGAACCCTGGTCTGGTCAAATCCAAAGAAAGTTGGCATTGAAAGGAAGCCGTGTCTGTTGTTTCTTTAATTTCTAGTTCTGGGGGATATATTAATGGAACCCAATCAGAAAAGTTTGGATAGTTAATGGAAAGAACATCATCAATATATATGAAGGTGAAATTAAATGATCTGGCTTCTTTGATCTTCTTGTTTTTGACAAGTGTCTGAAGGAACTCCAACTCATATGAAAATAAGAGGAGGTCGGCTAGGAGATGCACACAGTTCGTTCCGATAGGAATGCCGACAATTTGTTGAAAAAGTCTACCATCAAATTCAACAAATATGTTGTCAATAAGAAAATCCAGCATACTGATCACTTGTTCCTCTGTGTATAGATATAGGAAGATGTGGTATGAGTGCCACTGAGACAACTCTCCATCCAAGTAACAGTTTATAAAAGTAAACCATTATAGGTCAAGGTACGGCCTTCAACACGGAGCCTTGGCTCACACCGAACAACAAGCTATAAAGGGCCCCAAAAATTACTAGTGTAAAACCATTCAAACGGGAAAACCAGCGGTCTAATCTATATAAAAGCATGTTTTACTTTTTTGTTCACTATTAACAAAATATGCCGTATGGTATCCCAAAGTAATAAATTTATAGCGCATGCTACCATTTTTATGTTGAAAAGCATTGTGGATTATTTTTTTTAGACGATTTTTCAATTTGACATGGGGAATGGTGGTATACAGGGCTGAAAATCAAAAGTTTTGATAGAACTTATTTCAGAAAAAGATCGAAATTTAAAATTATCCAGAAGTTCCTTAGAGTTTTTTAGAATTCACATATGGTTAATACCACTACGCGAGTAAACAGTTTCACAGTATTTCTGAAGACCCTCTTTCACTGCGGACAGAATTTTTGTCAATCTAATGGACAATTATTTCGTCGAACATGCAGATGAGCCGGCAATGTACCTTTGTACATCTAAATCTAAATGAAAGTTAATGCGACGTCGTAATTTTATCAAAGAGACAGATCACGTACAGCAAAAAAAACCAAACCATTACCGTTTTAAAAAAAATTGAATCACAATAAAAAAAAAAGAAATAACCTGTTTACACTCAAATTTAGAATCTACCAAAAAAAAAGACATTCAATCAACATTGACAATAAACAATATATTTTTGTTTTGCTTCTTTTAAAAGGAAACGTTAACGTATATAATAGTTAGTTACTTTTAAAACAGCATAAAATAAACAAAAAGATATAAAGTTCGCGAACATACATTTTTACAATTATTTTAATTATAAGTGCCGCACTGAATGTTGTCAGCATTTTCATTCATGTAACGACAACTCTCATTGGCTAAGCTGAAGACCCTTAATTGGATATAGGATACACTAAAATCATTTTAGTATATACTAAAATCAATATTTATGACCTTGATTCCGCGCCAATATTTCTGTATAAGCTGAATATTTCAGTATATGCTAAATTGATTTTAGGGTATCCTAAAATGATTTTAGTATATACTAAAATCATTTTAGTATATACTGAATTGACTTTAGGATACCCAAAAATGATTTTAGTATATACTAAAATCATTTAAGTATATGCTAAAATCAATTAAGGGTATGCTAAAATGTAATTTAGTATATACTATAATCATTTTAGGATATTCTAAAATCATTTTAGGATATACTAAAATCGATATTTATGACCCTGATTCCGCGCCATAAACGCATTTCACTCAAGTTAACTCAGGTCACCTTAACAAATAAATGACATAAACTATGCAATATCCATGACGTCCTACATTTAAAATGAAGAAATTAGTTTATTTAATGAATGGCTATTATTTATTTTGAATTTATTGAACCATAAAATTAATTTTTGACTCTTCACATTGAATAAAGCGGATTATGTAAAATGTGAAGAGTCAAAAATTAATTTTATTGTTCAATAAATTCAAAATAAATTATTGTCATTCATTATAAATAAATTTCTATCAAAAATAAGGCCCAAAGAGCTTTTTATATTATTTTTATTAACAATAACAACGTACACACATGTTGGCGTATGAATACACAACGTCAGAGTGGGCGTGTCGCCATAAAAATTGACAACATTGAAAATAAAGGTAATATTTTTAACAAATCAGAAGACAGTAAATACACCAAATTTATTTATTACAGCATAATTATATACCCTAGCATAGTATCTACTATTCTTTAATAACAGGGGTTACCTGAGGTCACCCCAAAAAAAAAAACAACAAATAAAACCCATTTAACTCAAGTTAACTCGATCAGGTCACCTTAACAAATACATGACATAAACTATGCAATGTCCATCATGTTCACGAATTCCTACATTTTGATTGAAGAAATTAGTTTATTTCAGCATAATTATATACCTTAGGATTGTATCTTTTATTTTTCCAAGGATCTCATGCGTACTGTCACAGTGTAAATAGAAAGTAGAATAATGTATTTCTAGTTAATTCTATTTTTAGATCATATTATTACTACGCATATGGGGCACTATTTGCAAGATACCTGAGGTCCTACATCAGCGGACCTTTTATCCACCTGCCCGTCATACATCAGCTAGGGTAGCGGAATCTGCCGAGTTCAGTGGTCAGTGGAGTTTCTATTTATGATCTTCAGAACTGATAATGTTTGTACGACATAGGCCTAATATGTCATTTATTAACAATTATTCTACAGATGTAAATATCAACAAGTTTAAAAGCGAAAGTTGAAGTTGCAGACATGGCGGAATTGCAACCAATACTTAATAAATACATTCCGGACCTTCGAGGAAATATAAGGGTAGATGACATTCTGTATCTAGTGAATTTCCCGTCTTCGGGGACAGAAGAAATAACTCGCTATCTAGAGTCAGACAACAAAGATGACATTGCTAGATTTATAGAAGTAATTGGGAGAATCGATGATAATAACAATAACTTGCATTTTTCCGTAAGCTTTTTGAAATGTTTACAAAATTCGAAAGCTTCAGGTATACATATAACTGCAGAGCAAATGATATCTGAAGCCGAAAAAGTTTTTCCTAAAATCAGAGAACATTTTCTACCACCATCATTGACGAAATCGGGAACAAAACAATCTGAAACTTCATGCAATTATCTTCGAGATGACATTGCAAACGTTAGACCGTCAACTTCAACCCCGCGAAGTTCTACACAAGCGGATATTGGGATTACATCTTCACATGGTGAATTGGTACGTATTTTAATGAATCAACGGAACAAATGCACAATTGTGTCACAATTTTAATATTTTTGATGTTTGTGTTGTTCAAAATGTGAGTTTTTCTCCACGTGTCTAAATGTAAAAAGAATTATGAATGAATGTCCAAAATTGTTATATATAATAGTATGTTACCGACATTGTTGAAATCATTGTGCACTTAAAAATAAACATTGGTTTTTGTTGTGTTAAAAATAAACTCTAGCTATTTCAGTATTTTGGATTTTTATTTTCTAAAAAAAGGATAATATACCGTAAAGAGTTAATGTACGCATGATTATTTTATTTAATCATAATAATAATGATTTATTTTTCTTTTTTAAAAATTGCCTTTGTTACATTTTTACGTTTTTTGTGGACATTGCATGCGATTTTCTGTAAATTTTACTTCTTCACTGGAAACTTCATATGTGACCGTTTTGTGTATCTTAAAGTGTATTTAGCTATGTTGATGGACGTGCATAATGACAATGATGAAAATATGAATTGTTTAGTCTCTAAGAAACCCTATAAGAAATTTCCGTCGCTTTTGTTTTTGCCTAATGGCTGCATCTTGGATATTCACCAAAGAGTCTCCCCCCCCCTTTTGAATTGCAGTATTTGTTTATGAGTCAGTATGATCTTTTATGTAAATCCAATTTGACTATCATGTAAACAACTATGTTCCTCCTGAAGAAATCTGTCAGGTCGATAACTTAAAATTCTGTGAAAAATGTTTTCGATATACATATAGGCTCTGGTCAACGTTTGTTTCAATGATGTGGGTGTTGGTCATCATGTGTTGTTTGAGATATATTTGTTCGTACTTTATTTAGAATATTCTTAAGAATTTGGAAGTGTACATGAACAAACTCATTATAACAGTTACCTTGGACTCCAATTGTTCTAGTCGTGACTAAAAATGAAACGTCAAGAATAGGCGAAGGATACCAAAGGGACATTCAAACTCATAAGTAAAAAATAAACGGACAACGCCATGGCTAAAAAATAAAAAGATAAACAGACAAACAACAGTACACAAAACACAACATAGAAAACCAAAAACTGAGTAACACGAATCCCACCAAAAGCTTGGGAGGGTTTCAGGTGCTCCGGAAGTGTAAGCAGATCCTACTCCACAGTTGTAACCCATCGTGTTCCTCATGTCAGTACAAACCCAGTGATAAATCTAATTCGGTAGGTCACATTCGGGGAAAAGGGGACGGGATCGTAGTTACGACAAATGGAACATATCCGTTGTTATCTGTGAAATTGATATTCCATAACAGTCAACCGACTCGTGATGGCGTCCGTAAAATTTACGAAATGACGATTTCAAATTCACCACTTGGAACTCTTGTTTTAATAGCTTCCTTGTGAGCAGCAACCCTCTATCAAGGAAATCATGATAGGAAATACAAGCCCTGGAATATCGTATCAACTTGGAGATGTATCTCCGTATGCAGGTGCTGCTTGAATGTTGCAACATAGAAATGGAAAGTTCACAATTGGGAATCTGAAATCATCTCTTTTGTCGTAAAGTTCTGTTTCCAACCGACCATCATTGTCAATTTCTAGATGTAAATATAAAAATAAGAAGAAGTGGTATGATTGCTAATGAGACAACCCTCCATAAGTAAGTCAAGATATGAGGAAGTCTTTACTGTATCTGTTGTATCCTTTATCTCAAGTTCGATGGGATAGATGCGTTCAACATATTCACCAAATTTTTAAATATTTAGTGAGAGAACATCATCTATATAGCGGAAAGTGAAGTTAAAGGATACTGCTAACTTCTTTTCTTTCTTCCTAAGAAGTTCCTGTATGAAGTCGGCCTCATATGAATAAAGGAACAAGTCTGCAAGAAGCGGGGCACAATTGGTTCCCATGGGAAGGCCGATTGTTTGTTGAAAAACACGTCCTCCAAAACTCAAAAAATATGTTGTCAATCAAGAAATTAAGTACGTATCTTGATAATGTCAGTTTTATAGAATTTTTTACAAAGTATGATTTATTCCTCCACAAGACAAGAAACTTATATCTTTGTAGGCCATTCTTTTTTATGAAACAAAGCAGGACAAACTCTTTCAATTTGTCTTTTAGTTTGGAATGGGGAATACTTGTGTAAAGTGTAGAAAAGTTAAGTATCCACATCTGATTCACGCCACCTCTAAATTAGGTAGTTTCACAATAACTTTGAAGCCCGCTGATAAAATTGATGTTAATAATTTAGAAAGAGGTTTCGTAGAGCACTTAGAAGACCCAGCAATATAACGTTGTTTGTCAGGACACTTATGTAGTTTAGGTATCCAATACAGTGAAGGACGATCCAGTGCTTCGTCTTTGATTGAAATTCCAAAGGAACATAGAACAGACTTATGAGTATCCAGGATTTCCTCCTTAGTAAGTGTCGTGGGGGTATATGTTGAGTTCCCAAGTGAATGTTAATACCTCATTCATTAATCAAGCAGTTAATGTAATGTGATTTACACACAAACACGATGTTGTTTGGGGCTTCTCCTGCGGGGACAACAACATATTTGTCATGAAGGTAGATTTAAAATATTAAAGATTTATGTGACATACGTATTCATAGACCAATTCAGTTTTTATGCCCCCGTCGTAGCTGAGGCGGCATTAAGTTTTACCCTTGTCCGTCCGTACGAACGTACGTCCGTCCGTACGTCCGAAAGTTGGTTTCCGTTCTCTAACTTTAGTTTTCCTCAACCAAATGTTATGAAACTTATACACAATGCTTATTACCACAAAACACAGACCAAGTTTGAATTTTGGTGGCGTCACTTAAACTGTTGTAGAGTTAATTTCCTTTACAAATGGAAAAATTGCTGAATTTTTTGTTTCCGTTCTCTAACTTTAGTTTGCCTCAACCAAATGTTATGAAACTTATACACAATGCTTATTACCACAAAATACAGATCAAGTTTGATTTTTGGTGGTGTCACTTTTACTGTTCTAGAGTTATGCCCCTTTACAAATGGAAAAATTGCTGAACTTTTCGTTTCCGTTCTCTTACTTTAGTTTGCCTCAACCAAATGTTATGAAACTTATACACAATGCTTATTACTACAACATACAGACCAAGTTTGAATTTTGGTGGTGTCACTTTAACCGTTCTACAGTTATGCCCCTTTACAAAAGGAAAAATTGCTGAATTTTTCGTTTCCGTTCTCTAACTTAAGTTTGCCTCAACCAAATGTTATGAAACTTATACACAATGCTTATTACCACAAAATACAGATCAAGTTTGATTTTTGGTGGTGTCACTTTTACTGTTCTAGAGTTATGCCCCTTTACAAAAGGAAAAATTGCTGAATTTTTCGTTTCCGTTCTCTAACTTAAGTTTGCCTCAACCAAATGTTATGAAACTTATACACAATGCTTATTACCACAAAATACAGATCAAGTTTGATTTTTGGTGGTGTCACTTTTACTGTTCTAGAGTTATGCCCCTTTACAAATGAAAAAATTGCTGAACTTTTTGTTTCCGTTCTCTAACTTTAGTTTGCCTCAACCAAATGTTATGAAACTTATACACAATGCTTATTACCACAAAGTACAGACCAAGTTTGAATTTTGGTGGTGTCACTTTAACCGTTCTAGAGTTATGCCTCTTTACAAAAGGAAAAATTGCTGAATTTCTGTTTCCGTTCTCTAACTTAAGTTTGCCTCAATCAAATGTTATGAAACTTAATACACAATGCTTATTACCACAAAATACAGATCAATTTTGATTTTTGGTGGTGTCACTTTTATTGTTCTAGAGTTATGCCCCTTTACAAAATGAAAAATTGCTGAATTTTTCGTTTCCGTTCTCAAACTTAAGTTTGCCTCAACCAAATGTTATGAAACTTTTACACAATACTTATTACTACAAAACTCAGATCAATAACAAATTTGGGTAGTGTCACTTTTACCGTTCTTCAGTTATGTCCCTTTATAACTTTATATGATATGCAAGCGGGGGCATCATCTGTGTCCCATGGACACATTCCCCATTTATTTTAATTCTGATTTGTATCAATGACCTCACAGCCTTGATCAATTTGGAAAGAGTATCTACGGCTTCTTTCTCGCGTTTACTCTATTGCCTGTCATGATCCTCGACTGAATCCATCAGTATTTTGAAGTTGTGTTTTCAATTAATGGATTTTGGCTCACGATATGTCGGGCCTTTGGATAACACATTTCGCAGAGAAGTGCTATTGACAATGTTTAGGTCACTAGTAATAACGTGGTTAGCCGGATTATATACGAATGGGGAACTAGCACAGGTGCAATCAGGAGGTTTAGACTTGAAGTCGTGAATATTGAGATCCTGCAACACATATTTGTAATTGAATATTTTAGTTGCAATTGGTTTGGTATATGTATTAGAAATGATAGATACAGACTGATTTTTGAAATAGGGAGGTATTTTCGATTGAACTGATTTATGATAAAGGATATTGCCCAAGTTGATGGCATCGAGACCTTTGTTGGCGAAGGAAAGTTTTATAAAGAATCTTTTATCCTTATGTGCAGTTTCTTGTTCTTTGTTCCATTGAAATATTGTATTTATCCGTAAATAGTTTTTTAGCACGTAGGTTTGAATTTACCGCGCTTTCTCTCGTGCATTTTGCAAACCCCACTTTTTCAAGCCTCGTTTGAGTGGACCATGCATTCAAACAGTACATTGCTCATGGCTGCACGCTAAAAAAATTTGATAGCATTTAGTAGCATTACTAAGAGTGTTATGTTTGCGTGATAATTGCTGCTATTTTAGCCATATTATAGACTTTTGTTACACATATATATTACTAGCATTTGAACTTTTTTGTTACATGTACTTGCTTGTTATATGATGGGGATATTTATGTTATTGGGGGGTTTATTTGCTTGGGGTACCAAGCTCAAATAAATATTGCCATACGTAGTTTTGTTTACTATACCAAGTAAGGTAAAAAGGCGTTTTTTTCTTAAAGTGTAACTCTTTATTTTTCAGAACTTCTATTACAACAGAGTTAGCACTGCTATTTCTACTCTTCCATGTTTTAGGCTTACCATACCATCGAATATTGAAGTCAGATTCCTTCCCTAAATTTTCATAAAAATAAGTGTATATCCAGGGTTTAATTCGAACTGGGGTTGTGTAAAATGTAAACATTCTTGCATGTTCTTCGTATAAATTTGAGTCAATTTCTTCAAATAGATATAAGAAGATGTGGTATGAGTGCCAATGAGACAACTCTCCATCCAAGTCACAATTTGTAAAAGTAAACCATTATAGGTCAAAGTACGGCCTTCAACACGGAGCCTTGGCTCACACCGAACAGAAAGCTATAAAGGGCCCTAAAAATTACTAGTGTAAAACCATTCAAACAGGAAAACCAACGGTCTAATCTATATTTAAAACGAGAAACGAGAAACACTTATGAACCACATCAACAAACGACAACCACTGAGCATCAGGTTCCTGACTTAGGACATGTGCAAACAAAGGCAGCGGGTTTAAACGTTTTAATAGGCGCCAACCTTCACCCTACCTGAAACATTAGTGTAACATCACAAAATGATAGAAAGACACACTATAAAATATCAATTGAAATGGGTTAATTCAAAATAAGCCGAGTTTTGCCTTACCTGACCTCTTGGTTTGCTTTGTAAGAAGAGATGAGAGAGGATAATCATTGAAAACTTTGTCAATTGATCGGTCAATTTTCAATTTGCCAAAATCAATGTTAGTAGTAACTCGAATAATTCTGCACCCTCGATAGGCTATATAGGCTCTAGTTTATATACAAAAAAGTGACTGTTTGAAACTTGAGATTTGCATGAATGTAATACATACTATGACAGTTTTTGTTCGAAATATAGTTTTATCTAAACAAAAGAAGTTATTAAGTCTGTATCCATTGGTCTGTATTCATCAATTTTTCTGTTAGACAAAGGGCCAATTTGGTATAATTTGAGGACAGAACAAGTGGTGATATATATATTTTTTCTTTTTTCTATGTTTTCATGTATTTCAGCGATGATTCTTTTGTACTGGATTTTATACTGAATAAAATCAGTTAGTTAGTTAGTTAAGTTTCATGTTGGTGTTGACAGTTTTCTCTTTTGATTAGATAGCTACAACATCTAGACTATGAACAATTTATACCAGACTTACAGAACGAGTCAACTATTAGGTTTGTTTATTTTTTGTTTCAACAGAATTGCGCTTTTTATCTTGATTAATTAATTTATTTTTATGATATAAATTTATTAAGGATGTTTTGTAGAAAATTCTAACGACCATAAATGGACAGCCTCGCAGTCAAAACAGCAGACACTCTGTAACTCAAAATGAAATTGGCCTTTTTTGTGCTGGTACGTGAGTAATTTAGCGTTAATAAAGTAAACATTGAGTCCATACAACGGGTGTATGACATTTGCGCCGATTTTATAATCAATCTTTCATTTGCGCCGAATTGGTTGTTACATTTGCGCCGATTCAATAATATCAAGTTCCATTTTTCTCCTTTTTATACGACCGCAAAAATTGAAAATTTTTTGGTCGTATATTGGTATGACGTTGGCGTCGTCGTCGTCGTCGTCGTCGTCGTTGTCGTCGTCGTCGTCGTCGTCGTCGTCGTCCGGCGTCGTCCGGCGTCGTCCGAAGACACATTGGTTTTCGCACTCTAACTTTAGTTTAAGTGAATGGATCTCCATGAAATTTTACCATAAGGTTCAATACCACGAAAGGAAGGTGGGGATTGATTTTGGGGGTTATGGTACCAACAGTTAAGGAATTAGGGGCCAAAAAGGGGCCAAATATAAGCATTTTTGTAACTTCCAGACAATAACTTGTGTGTAAGTGTATGGATCTCTCTGACATTGTACCACAAGGTTCCATATCACAAAGGGAAGGCTGTAATTGATTTTGGGGGTAATTGCCTCAAAATTTTAGGAATTAGGGGCCAAAAAAGGGGCAAAAAACAAGCATTTTTCTAGTTTCATGACAATAACTTGTGTGTAAGTGTTTGGATATTTCTGAAATTGTACTACAAGGTTCCATATCACAAAGGGAAAGCTGGAATTGAGTTTGGGGGTAATTGTCCGAAACGTTTAGGAATTGGGGGCCAAAAAGGGGCCAAAAATAAGCATTTTTCTAGTTTCCAGACAATAACTTGTGTTCAAGTGTATGGATCTCTCTGAAATTGTACTGCAAGGTACCATACCACAAAGGGAAGGCTGGGATTGAGTTTGGGGGTGATGAATCATAAGGGGGTTCAAAAAATTTGGGGGGGGGATTTTTTTTTTTCTTTTTTTTTCTTTTTTTCCTTTTCTTTTTCTTTTAAAATTTTCCATTTTAAGTTGGTTATTTCTGATTAATATTTAAAAGCAAATAATAATGATATGGTAGGAGATACACACCAAACAGGATGTGTAAATTATTATATAATAAGTATTGTGCAATAGCAAGAAATTTTCAATTGCACAGTATTGCACAATTGCAAGAAATCTTCAATTGCACAGTATTGCGCAATAGCAAGAAATCTTCAATTGCACAGTATTGCGCAATAGCAAGAAATATCCAATAGCACAATATTGCGCAATAGCAAGAAATTGTCAATTGTACAGTATTGCACAATAGCAAGAAATATTCAATTGCACAGTATTGTGCAAAAGAAGATACTTCGTATAAATTGCTTATTTCTTGATCAATTTCAATGGGGTTTTATTCTTGAATTCTTGGGGTTCTTTAATATGCTGAATCTAACCGTGTATTAAGTTTTTGGATTTTGGGCCCCGTTTTTAAATTGGTCCACATTGAGGTCCAAAGGGTCCAAAATTAAACTTTGTTTGATTTCATCAAAAATTGAATTATTGGGGTTCTTTGATATGCCGAATCTAACCGTGTATTTAGATTCTTAATTTTTGGTTCCGTTTTCAAATTGGTCTACATTAAGGTCAAAAGGGTCCAAAATTAAACTTAGTTTGATTTTAACAAAAATTGAATTTTTAGGGTACTTTGATATGCTGAATCTAAACATGTATTTAGATTTTTAATTATGGGCCCAGTTTTGAAGTTGGTCCAAATCGGGGTCCAAAATTAAACTTTGTTTGATTTCAACAAAAATTGAATATATGGGGTTCTTTGATATGCTAAATCTAACCATGTATTTAGATTTTTGATTTTTGGGCCCCGTTATCAACTTTGTCCACATTGAGGTCAAAAGGGTCCAAAATTAAACTTTGTTTGATTTCATCAAAAATTGAATTCTTGGGGTTCTTTGATATGCTGAATCTAACCATGTATTTAGATTTTTTATTTGTGGACCCGCTATCAAATTGGTTCATATTGAGGTCAAAAGGGTCCAAAATTAAACTTTGTTTGATTTCATCAAAAATTGAATTATTGGGGTTCTTTGATATGCCAAATCTAACCGTGTATTTAGATTTTTAATTTTGGGTCCCGTTTTTTAAATTGGTGTACATTAAGGTCCAAAGGGTCCAAAATTAAACTTAGTTTGATTTTAACAAAAATTGAATTTTTGGGTTCTTTGATATGCTGAATCTAAACATGTGTTTAGATTTTTGATTATGGGACCAGTTTTCAAGTTGGTCCAAGTTGGGGTCCAAAATTAAACTTTGTTTGATTTCAACAAAAATTGAATATATGGGGTTCTTTGATATGCTGAATCTAAACATGTATTTAGATTTTAGATTTTTGGCCCAGTTTTCAAGTTGGTCCAAATTGGGGTCCAAAATTAAACTTTGTTTGATTTCAACAAAATTTGAATATATGGGGTTCTTTGATATGCTGAATCTTACCATGTATTTAGATTTTTTATTTTGTGGGCCTGCTATCAAATTGGTTCATATTGAGGTCAAAAGGGTCCAAAATTAAACTTTGTTTGATTTCATCAAAAATTGAATTATTGGGGTTCTTTGATATGCCAAATCTAACCGTGTTTTTAGATTTTTAATTTTGGGTCCCGTTTTTTAAATTGGTCTACATTAAGGTCCAAAGGGTCCAAAATTAAACTTAGTTTGATTTTAACAAAAATTGAATTCTTGGGGTACTTTGATATGCTGAATCTAAACATGTGTTTAGATTTTTGATTGTGGGACCAGTTTTCAAGTTTGTCCAAGTTGGTGTCCAAAATTAAACTTTGTTTGATTTCAACAAAAATTGAATATATGGGGTTCTTTAAATTTGATATGCTGAATCTAACCATGTATTTTGATTTTGGACATTGGACCATAATAGGTAAATTAAAAAAATTGAAGTTCTTAGACCACATTCTTTCTGTGTCAGAAACCTATGCTGTGTCAAATATTTAATCACAATCCAAATTCAGAGCTGTATCAAGCTTGAATGTTGTGTCCATACTTGCCCCAACTGTTCAGGGTTCGACCTCTGCGGTCGTATCAAGCTGCGCCCAGCGAAGCATTTTATTGCATTTTAGTGCTGTGCTTTTTTCATGGCGTAAAGAGATTCTATTGTCCTTTGATATTTTAAAAGCTGTAAATAGATTTTTATATCATTTGATATTTTATTGCTATACTCAGTTATTTTAGTGGAGTAAACAGAGTGTTTTTAACCTTAAAATTGACTTGTTTTGCTCGAAAACCTACTTCCACCTCCCCATTATGGGCAGGGGGCAACAGTTATATGCATGTTTTAATTGATAATTCATAACATATGTATAACTGGCTAGCGGAAGAGGTTTATAATGATAAATAAATATAGTTTTCACCTGTAATTTACCTGTAAAACAATGGGCTCAAATGAAAGAAATAATCGGCGCAAGTGAAGAAAAAATCGGCGCAAATGCAAAACGCCGCATACAACAAGTTGCATAAAGTCAATAATTCTTGGAGAAAATACTTTACATTTTTTTTTTGTTCAAATCAATATCATAACATTACAAATGTAAAAACACTATAGCATGGCAACTCTCCCTACTTCATCTGATATGTCGTTTACACTTATTGAAACAACCATAAACAATAACTGTTTGGTTCGAGTTTAAAACTGTGATATTTTGCTTGAAATGTAATGAATAATAATAAGAAATCATAGTGTAATAACAATATTCTTTTTTGGAATAGTCAAAACTATCAGAAAAACTCAAAACTAGTTTTAAAATTCGAGTACGTTCATATCTTCAACCTTATATATATATAAATAAGAAGATGCGGTATGATTTCCAATAAGACAACATTCAACAAGAGACAAAATGACACAGAAATTTACAACTACAGGTCACCGTACGGCCTTCAACAATGAGTAAAACGCATACCGCATAGTAAAAGGCCCCGAAATGACAAATGTAAAACGATTTATGTACAAAATAATGAACGAAAAACAAATATGATATACAGCAACAAACGACAACCACTGAATTACAGGCTCCTGACTTGGGACAGGCACATACAGAATGACTACCATTGAAAATAATCGTAGACCACGTTTCAACGAGACTGAACAGAAAGTTTCTTTACCGAACGCCACACAGTTCTTACATTGTATTAGCTCCTTTAAAAACACTATAATTAAAACACTATAATTAACTACGTTGTTTTTTATGGAAAGATTGTCTTTGTTGATCGTTATGATTTCTTAACTCTGTAAATTACTCTACAGCAATCTCATCTAATAGACAATTGTTTATTTAATAAAATGGTTTTAAAAACATAAATGTGACTTTATCAGTTTAGTCATTACACAGTTCTTTTTAGTATTAAATCTTACATGAATAAACTTATTGAACTTAAAAGAAATTATTATAGAGAATATTTTTGTTTGATAATATTTATGTTCATTTTTTGAGCCAGCCAATATGGTTCTGTGTTTTCACTCCGGTTTAAACGGGACAGAATTTTGAATCAAAATCACATACTTAAACCATAGAAGATATGTAAATGAATATAAGTCTTGAAGAAGGTGTAAATAACCATTTTAATCATCTTCCGCCAACTTTTCACATGTAGCTTACCCTCAGATGAAAAAAAAGTATCAATTATTTATTTTGGTTTGTTTTTCGAATACTAATAGCAATATGTCAGCTATATTTGGGGTATGAAATAGTTGTAAGGTGTTCATGTCTGTCTGATCTTGACCTCATTTTCATGGTTCATTGGTCAATGAATCATGATTGTATTTTTGTCTGTTTTTCAATTACCATAATCAACTGGTCAACGATATTTGGTGTATGTAATAATTGTAAGGTGTACAATGTCTTTCTGACAGGATTTATCTGACCTTGACCTTGTGGTCATGGATCTTTAAAAATGTTATGTTTATGTGATACTTGTAGTGAAACCTTTATCTTTAAGACTTTCAACATAAAATCAATGGTCAGTAAAGCAGGCGAGAC